CCATTGCCATTTGATTTGTTGTTTTGGGTTCCCGTCCATACAACTTTCTGTGTTTCTAGTCTAGAGAAGATCCTTTAGCATTTGTTGAAGAGCTGGTTTGGTGGTGCTGAATTCTCTCAACTTTTGCTTGTCTGTGAAGTTTTTGAATTGTCCTTCATACGTCAATGAGATCCTTGCTGGGTACAGTAATCTGGGTTGTAGGTTATTCTCTTTCATTACTTTAAGAGACAATAAAATTTATTGAGATGACCATGAACACATTAACACTGAACCACATGGGAGTGACAGTGGCAATCTTGTAGTTCCTATGCCCAGTACAAAAGTAAGGTATCAATTTTGGAATTTCCAATCAATTCTCTTACACTGGATTATAATTTATAGTGTTTAACATCTATTTGCTCTGGGAATGTAAAATAACTCTATCAGCAAAGAAATAGCATAGGTCAATAGGAGAAGATTACCATATAAGATAGCAAATTATAAAAGTAGTTCAAATTATCCAAAGACCTCAGGGGAATTTTATGTGTTAGAAAATAAGATACCACTCTATTTGATGGAGGAAGAGGCTGCTGAATCTTTTCTATGCCAGTTTCCTTATGCTTGACTCCTTCTTACAGTCCCTCTGCCTCCTCAATCAGGAGGAGCAATATGACAGGTTAGAAGCAGAGTCCATTAAGGGCCAGACCTTACAATGCACATAGTTCACTTAAGGGCAGGACCCATTATTCTCTTTGATGTTCCTGATTCAGAATTTGCGAGGACCAAGTCACCAGGGAGGCTGATGTTTCTCTTTCTCTAAGTCACTGTGCCTGGATGGGATCTGGAGGTCTCTTGGGGAGCCCTGACCATCCTTTCTGTGAATAGCACCTTGCAAAGCACACTGACAGGGTGCTTTAAAATTTAGGGGAGGTGAAAGTGGCCAGGAATATCTGACAGGTAAAACCTGCATGATGCATTCCAGACTATTATCAGCATTGCATAATGTTTTTGTGCTACTGCACTTACTATTAAAATTTAATTCCTGAGAATATTTGTATGTTTACTGTGTCCTCAAGAGTCCTTCAATGAGAAGGAATGAATGACAAAGCAGAATGTGATGGTTTATCTTCCTGCCCACAATCCCATTATAATATCAAAATTCATACTGGATCTCTTAAATATTTTCCATTTTGACAATGTTAATCTAAAGTATTGTTAATGAAAGATACTCTAAACTACTGTCAGTCAGTCAGTGTTGCAGTTCTGTTCAGTTCAGTCTCTCAGTCGTGCCCGATTCTTTGTGACCTCATGAATTGCAGCACGCCAGGCCTCCCTGTCCATCATCAACTCCCAGAGTTTACACAAACTCATGTCCATCAAGTCGGTGATGCCATCCAGCCATCTCATCCTCTGTCGTCCCCTTCTCCTCCTGCCCCCAATCTCACCCAGCATCAGGGTCTTTTCCCAATGAGTCAGCTCTTCGCATGAGGTGGCCCAAGTATTGGAGTTTCAGCCTCAGCATCAGTTCTTCCAATGAACACCCAGGACTGATCTCCTTTAGGATGGACTGATTGGATCTCCTTGCAGTCCAAGGGGCTCTCAAGAGTCTTCTCCAACAGCACAGTTCAAAAGCATGAATTCAGCAGTGCTCAGCTTTCTTCACATTCCAACTCTCATAACCATACATGACCACTGGAAAAACCATAGCCTTGACTAGATGGACCTTTGTTGGCAAAATAACGTCTCTTCTTTTTAATATGCTATCTAGGTTGGTCGTAACTTTCCTTTCGAGGAGTAAACGTGTTTTAATTTCATGGCTGCAATCACCATCTGCAGTGATTTTGGAGCCCCCAAAATTAAAGCCAGCCACTATTTCCACTGTTTCCCCATCCCCATCTATTTTCCATGAAGTGATGGAACTGGATGCCATGATCTTAGTTTCTGGATGTTGAGCTTTAATTAACTTTTTCACTCTCCTCTTTCACTTTCTTCAAGAGACTTTTTAGTTCCTCTTCACTTTCTGCAATAAGGGTGGTGTCATCTGCATATTTGAGATTATTGATATTTCTCCCTGCAATCTTGATCCCAGCTTGTGCTTCATCCAGCCCAGCGTTTCTCATAATGTACTCCACATATAAGTTATATTAGCAGGGTGACAATATACAGCCTTGACATACTCCCTTTCCTATTTGGAACCAGCCTGTTGTTCCATGTCCAGTTCTAACTGTTGCTTCCTGATCTGCATACAGGTTACTTAAGCGGCAGGTTGGTGGTCTGATAGTTTATTGTGATCCACACAGTTAAAGGCTTTGGCATAATCAATAAAGCACAAATAGATGTTTTTCTGGGACTCTCTTGCTTTTTCAATGATCCAGAGGATGTTGGCAATTTGATCTCTGGTTCCTTTGCCTTTTCTAAAACCACCTTGAACATCTGGAAGTTGTTGGAAATTCAATGCATTCTAAAGATCGTTTCCTCTTTGGTCTACAAATTTACATATATTTACATAAAATATGTTTACTTTTTTTTCCAGAGATGAGTGTAATGCTTATTTTTTTTTAGAATTTCTGGATTCTTTTATTTATTTAGTAATGTGACATGGAGAGTATTTAATAACGATATTGACCATAATTACCTGTTTTCTTTCACGGCTGTATAACTCACACCTATGTTGTAGATAAGTGTGTTAACAAATTGGTAGCCATTTAAGTGCTAGTGGGAATATTCAGTATGTAATTGTGAACATGTGCAAGTCTTTCTGCATGACAGATAAGATAAAATAGTGTGCATAAATTTTATTTAAATGGTATTCCCATATTATACTCCCTTAAAATTAGTCATACCTGTTTATTTGTTCTACAAATTATTTGTAGGAATATTATTTGTTGACAATTTCAATTTTGCAGATATTCCATGTCACCTTTTATATATAATTGGCCATTTTGCTTTTGTGAGTTTGCTGTTCATACTTTTCAGTTAATTTCATATTGGACTGCTAGACTTTTCATTGGACATTTGTACTCTTTCTTATTGCACAGTGACTACCAACCCTTTGTCTATTAAAAGTGCCAGCGTGTAGATTTGAGGAAAATTGTGTAATCCTATATGCTTGATTTAAAAACATTTTCTCCTATGGAAACATATGATTCTACCTTCTTACTTTTCTGTTAGCTCTACTTTTCTTTAAATATTTGTCAATTACCTAGGTGTGTTCTATGGAAAATACTATAGTAAAATTTCCTATAATTCCCTGAAAAATCAATGTTTCTTTTTTAAAATAAATTATGCCTAAAGCTGATGAATGTTTTTTATATGTTGTGGATGGTGATCCCATTGACCAACAAGACAAGACTCATTCCATCACCTGGACATTTTGATTGTAACTGCTTTCCTGATGTACAGTTTTCATCAGTACCTTCAGATTGTCTTCATTTGGTTCACCAATTTTTTACAAAATTTATGTGATTTTTGTACTGTGCTCATTGTTTCTGATTATTTCAGTCATAGTGGACCTAGGTTTAAAGAAAATAATATCTGTAATATTTTCTGTCATGATAAAGGATTGAATGTTTACATGTAAGTGTTATGAGAGGGTCAACACAGTAGCTTCCTGAGGAAAGAGACAAAAGAATGATAAATGCTGATCTAAAGTGTGGTTATGGTATACCATAATATGAAAGTGAAAGTTGCTCAGTCATGTCCAACTCTTTGAGACCCCATGGACTGTAGCCTCCCAGGCTCCTCTGCCCATGGAATTCTCAAGGCCAGAGCACTGGCCTGCTGGTAACTGTTTCCTTCTCCAGGATATCTTCCCAACCTGGTATCGAACCCAAGTCTCCTTCATTGCAGGCAGTTTCTTTACCATCTGAGCCACCAGGGAAGCCTGAGAATACTGGAGTGGGCAGCCTATCCCTTCTCCAGGGGAATCTTCTCAATCCAGGAATCAAACCGGGATCTCCTGCATTGCAGGTGGTTTCTTTACCAGCTGAGCTACCAGGGAAGACCATATTATAATATAATGTAAATAATTCAGTCTGTGTTCAACAAACCCATTGAATTTTTCATCATATCTGCAAGTAGCTAAGTGGTGCTGTGTCCTGAATTGTAAAAATATACATAGATTTATCTATGTATATAGATATAGATAAGATCATAGATATATTCAGGGAGCTTTGGAGAGAATGAAAATTCAAAAGTCCCTTCTTGTTCAGGTTAAAATTTTCTAAACATACAGTTGAGAACTTGTATTCATTAGTGAAGGCTGATGGGAGTGAAAATAATAGGTGAATAAAAGGTGGATGACAAAAAAAAGAATTAGGACATGAAATTAAAAATTTTTGCTAATATCTCAATTTTATAAAAGGAAGCAAATAGCACTTGCTATACTTCTAATTCCACAAACACTCCAAAGGCAAAGGAGTTTAACTGGATGAAGGCAAGTGTCTTGCCATGGCTTTAGGTAAGAAGTGATGTTGACGCTGGATGCATAGTAAAAATGAAGAACTATTAGTGGTCTCAGAAATAAAATTAAAGGGTGAGTATATCAAAAGAATTCCAATTATTGAACAATTTCTATAGCAAGGAAAAGCTATAAAATTCTATACAAAAGTGAAGGTAAAATTCGGAATATCTGCAAAGTAATATGGATACTATGAATAGACTTTTATTGTTCTTGTTTCTACACTCAACATGTGAAAAACTGTTAAATTGAATCATATCTTTTTAGTACAACTTTTACATTAAAATAATAAATTTCAATACATACCCACATTGTTTTATGGAGGAGTGCTATTTATGAGGCAGAGCTGCAGAGCAGCAGTACCCAACATTTTAGGCCCCAGGAACTGGTTTTGTGGAAGACAATTTTTTCATGGACTGGGGTAGGAAGCAATGGTTTAGGGATGATTCAAGCACATTGCATTTATTGCTCACTTTATCTCTATTAATGCATCAGCTCGACCTCAGATCATGAGACATTACACTGCAGAGGTTGGGGACCCCGGTGTTGAAGTCTCAGATACAGTTCGTCTATTTTCCCCTTCTTTCCTGTTTTAGCGAACTTCCAGCAACAAAACAGACATTTTGTGATGACAAACATGGCAGTTGCCACACAGGCCAGCAGGAACCCGACGACATCCAGAGAGTGGTACTGGAACCAGGTGAGGTCATGGGCGGCTGGCCGCAAGTGCTTGGCTCCTTTGTGGCGCATGACAAACTCGATCCAGAAGACTGCTCTGTCCAAAGGCTTCATCAGCTGATCATGTTGAATGGCTGATAATCTCATCACATTCTCTTTGTAGCTGAAGGAAAATCAAACAGTGATCATTTATGGAGTGAGCAATAATAGACAAATATGTGAAATTTTCTTGCAGATGGCAATAATGAGTGCAACACAGAGTGGAAGAAAAATAGATAATTTTCTCTGAGGTGATTATTGAGATATTATCTTAAGGAATAGGATATCTTAAATGCATAGCATTTCAAGCTACAAAGAAAAGAAAGAAAATGGGAGAGAACAAGATTGTGCATTCTGATGAATGGAATGAGCTGTCCTAAAGGGAAATAAAAAGAAAAGAAATTAGTAATATGTTCATCCAAAGTTTGAATTATCTCATAAAGAATTGTTGATAAACCTAGTAGATGTATTTCAAAATGTTATAATCCAGATATAGCAGGTAAATCAGTGATGAGGTTTGGAGACATGTCCAGACAGGGCTGATCTTACATTAGTGAAGTGGTGGTTGAAGGTGTGGAAGTAGATTGAGTCAGTTTGATTCCTGACTCTTCCTTTGTTGGCTGCTTTTTTATTCTTTCTGTTCCTCAGATTTAAAAAAAAATAATATATTTTTTTAACATTTTAAAGCTTTTTTATTTTTTAAACTTTTAATTTTACTTTGGCGTGCTCAATCATGATAGAATCTTTTTCTCAGTTTTTCATTGTTATATAAAATGGCTAGGAATAGTACCTTATCTAATTATTTTGAGAATACTTTACTGATTCTTAGAGGCATTCCTAGCATGCAGTAAATACTCAGTAGATGTTTACTAGTATTGTTGTTCTGGTTCTTGTTCTAGAAGTTCCGGAGAAGGCTCAACATTTCACTCTCAGGCATTGCAGACACACTTCTTTCTACTGTTAAAATGATGGCAGACTAACAGACAAGAAAGAAGAATAAAGAGATATAGCTCATGAACTTTAAATCACAAAGTACTGTATCATGGCAATGTAGTAATAACAATGGAAGTAACTTTTCTCCCTTTTCTGTCAAAAACACAGGACGAGAACTGGGTTTTTGAGAAGACTGCAGTAATCCTGGAAATATATTTTTAATACAATAGGAAGAGACTATAATGAAGAAGTTACTTAATATGTGTAAAGCAACACTGTTTTACTAAATATAACATGTAGCATATCATGAATATTCAGTATATGTTCATTTTTGCCACCAACGCTACATTATTAAAAATTAAAAAGACATATAAATATATCAGAGATATGTACATTTACATAAAAACAGCAGATGAAAGATTTGTTTCTTTTAAAAAAAGAAAAAAAAAGGAGGCGCTAACATGGTGGAGGAATAGGACAGTGAGACCACTTTCTCCCCTACAAATTCATCGAAAGAACATTTGAACGCTGAACAAACTCCTCAAAACAACTTCTGATCGCTAGCAGAGGACATCATGCACCCAGAAAAGCAGCCCATTGTCTTTGAAAGGAGGTAGGACAAATTAGAAAACATAAAATAGAGACAAAAGAGCTAGGGATGGAGACCCGTCCCGGGAAGGGAGTCATAATAGAGGAAGTTTCCAAACACCAGGAAACCCTCTCACTGGTGGGTCTGGGGGAAGTTTTCGAATCTTGAAGGGCAACCTAACTGGGGGGAAAAATAAATAAAACCCACAGATTTCATGCCTAAAAGCAACTCCTAGGAGAAAAGTACCCCAGACACTAGAACCTGCCACCAGCAAGTGGGGGCTGAACAGAGAGGAGCAGGCGGCATTGCTTAGGGTAAGGACCGCACCTGAATGCCCTGAGGGCAATCAGAGGGAGCTAACATGAGATAGCAACTTAAACTAGGGGATAGAAAGAGAGAGAGAGAAAATTAACTGGCAAAAAGCTCTAACCAAACACACTGCTGGCCTGTTCACAGAACAAAGGAAAGACAGGAATTTCAGAGAAGAGCTAGCCAGAGGCAGACCAGCCCATCCCCCGCCAGAGGCAGGAGGCAGAGGGGAGGGGAAAGGGGAAAACTCTGCCCCAGAGATGGCATCCCCTACCAAACTGTAAACATGCTTCCAATTTCTAACCAGACTTCCTGAGATTCTGGATGTTTGACATCCAGTGGGAGGGTCGCACTTAGAACAGCTCCCCAGAACAGACACAAGGCACAGCAAACCGGCGTGCGCGGAAACTGAGGCTGGGACCTCGGAGGTGAGAAGGCATACCACACCTGGGGAGAGTGTGCTCGTCAAGCTCCTGGCTGCCTGAGCCGCTCGGGTGGGGAAGCCACAAAATGCAGGCCCAACCGAGTTCGTGCTTTTGTGGAGTACCTGAAAACTGGAACCGCAGGCAACTTAGGGCCTGGTCCCTATAGAGCAGCCTGGAGCAGTGTAGACAGGGAAAGCACACAGCCATGAGTGGGGGCAAATCCAGTGTGGCTGGAACACTGCGAGTGCTCCCACACAGGCCAGTGACATTTGTCTGCAGTGCTCCTCCCTCCCCACAGCACGACTGAATAGCGAACCCAAACAAGAGACCACCTCTGCCCGCTTGTGTCAAGGCAGAAATTAGACACTGAAGAGACCTGCAAACAGAAGCCAAATAAACAAATGGAACCGCTTCAGAAGTGACAGGTGCAACAGGTTAAAATCCCTGTAGTTAACACTGACTACACCAGAAGGGCCCTATAGATATTGAGAAGTGTAAGTTGGAACAAGGAGCTATCTGAAACTGAACCGAACTCACACTGCCCACAACAGCTTCAGAGAAATTCCTAGATATATTTTAACTTTTTTTTTAATTAAAAATTTTTTTTTCTTTTTTTTTTAACTTTTTCTCTTTTAGTTTCTTTAAAAATTCCCTATTACTCCTCTACTACTCCTTAATTTTCATTTTTTAATTTTCTTTTAAAGTCCTCTATTACTCCTTAATTTTCATTTCACTATAACCTTACAAAAACCAAAAATATCTTATTTTTAAAGTGAACTTCATATATATTTCTCAAATTTTTTGTGTTTTTGTTTTTGTTTTTAATATTGTGTTTTTAAGAGTCTAACCTCTACTCTAGATTTTTAATATTTGTTTTTCAGTTTTTGATATCAATTTTGGACATTTAAGAATCCAATATTCAGTACCCATTTTTACTCAGGAGTGTGATGATTACTCTCTTCCCCTTTTGACTCTCCTTTTTCTCTCCCAGATCACCTATATTTCCTCCCTCCCCCTTTTCTCCTCACTCTAATTATGTGAATCTCTGTGGGTGTTCTGGGCTACGGAGAACACTTAGGGAACAGAGTACTGCATAGATCTGTCTCTCTCCTCTTGAGTCTCCCTTTTTCACCTCCTGCTCATCTCTATCTCCCTCCTCCCTCTCCTCTTCTTCATGTAACTCTCTGAACCTCTCTGGGTGTCCCTCACTGTGGAGGGAAAAAAGCCAGTAAGTTCCAGAGCAAGACATACCACGCTAATTCTCCAGAAATGCAGGAACATAGCCCTGAGTGTCAACATACAGGCTGCCCAAAGTCACACCAAGCACATAGACCATCTCAAACTCACTACTGGACACTCCATTGCACTCCAGTTTGACACACCAGATCACAGACGCAAGCTTCCCTAACCAGGAAACCTTGACAAGCCAATCATCCAACTCCACCCACTGGGAGAAACTTCCACAATAAAAAGGAACCACAGACCACAGAATACAGAAAAGCCTCTCCAAACACAGCAATCTAAACAAGTTGAAAAGGCAGAGAAATACCCAGCAGGTAAAGAACATGAAAAATAACCACCAAGCCAAACAAAAGAGGAGGAGATAGGGAATCTACTTGAAAAAGAATTTAGAATAATGATAATAAAAATGATCCAAAATCTTGAAAACTAAATGGAGTTACAGATAAATAGCCTTGAGACAAGGATTGAGAAGATGCAAGAAATGTTTAAAAAGGACCTAGAAGAAGTAAAAAACAGCCAGTTAAAAATGAATAATGCAATAAGTCAGATCAAAAACACTTTGGAGGGAACTAACAGTAGAATAACAGAGGCAGAAGATAGGATAAGTGAGGTAGAAGATAAAATGGTGGAAATAAATGAAGCAGAGAGAAAAAAGAAAAAAAAAATAAAAAAAAAAGAGGAAAACCTCAGGGACCTCTGGGACAATGTGAAATGCCCCAACATTCGAATCATAGGAGTCCCAGGAGAAGAAGACAAAAAAAAAAAAGGCCATGAGAAAATACTCGAGGAGATAATAGCTGAAAACTTCCCTAAAATGGGGAAGGAAATAGTTACACAGGTCCAAGAAACCCAGAGAGTCCCCAAAAGGATAAACCCAAGGCAAAACACCCTAAGACACATATTAATCAAATTAACAAAGATCAAACACAAAGAACAAATATTAAAAGCAGCAAGGGAGAAACAACAAATAACACACAAAGGGATTCCCATAAGGACAACAGCTGATCTATCAAGAGAAACTCTTCAGGCCAGAAGGGAATGGCAGCACATACTTAGAGTAATGAAAGAGAATAACCTACAACCCAGATTACTGTACCCAGCAAGGATCTCATTCTGATATGAAGGAGAATTCAAAAGGTTTACAGACAAGCAAAAGCTGAGAGAATTCAGCAGCACCAAACCAGCTCTTCAACAAATGCTAAAGGATATTCTCTAGACGGAAACACAGAAAGTTGTATGAACGGGAACCCAAAACAACAAACCAAATGGCAACGGGACCATACCTATCAATATTTACCTTAAACTGTCTGGCTTACTTCACTCAGTATAATGGGCTCCAGTTTCATCCATCTCATTAGAACTGATTCAAGTAAGCCAGAAAGATAAAGACCAATACAGTATACTAACACATATATATGGAATTTAGAAAGATGGCAATGATAACCCTATATGCAAAACTGAAAAAGAAACACAGGTGTACAGAACAGACTTTTGAACTCTGTGGGAGAAGGCGAGGGTGGGATATTTCGAGAGAACAGCATCGAAACATGTATATTATCTAGGGTGAAACAGATCATCAGCCCAGGTTGGATGCATGAGACAAGTGCTCGGGCCTGGTGCACTGGG